AAGGAAAGACCGCAGATTGCCATATGTTGCTTAGAATGATTAGGTAAATTAAAATGTCTAGCGACTGGTTTCGATGTGTCCTTGTCATTCCTTTCCACGTCTCGAAGGTGTTCTCGGAATCGGTCACCTAGTCTTCTGCCTGTTTCGCCGATGTATATCTTTTTGCAATAAGTGCAAGTTATGCAATAGATTACATTGGCGGAGGTGCACGTGAAGTGATCGGTGATCTTAATGGATCGTTTAGGTCCCGATATTTTATCAGTGTTGTGAATGAAAGGACACGTTTTGCATCGTGCACGAGCGCATTTAAAAGTGCCTGGTTGGTCATTAGTCTGAAAAGAACTTCTGACCAAAAAATTGCCTATGTTTTTGTCGCGTTTGAATGAAATGAGCGGAGGCTGCGAAAAGATAGTGCTTGTCTCTGGATCGTTTTGAAGTAATTTAAAGTTTTTAAGAATGATGGATTTAACTGAGTGGTTGTGAGGGTGAAACGTGAGAGTGAATGGAATGCGGTCGGAATCTTCCTTTTGTGACGTTTGTAGTGCTGAATGTCGATCAATAAGTTGGGCGCGGTGGTAACCCGCTTGAACGACAGAATCAGGGTAACCACGTTTATCGAAAAACTGGCACATTGACTCTGATTTGTGGTGGAAATCAGAGTCATCACTACATAAACGACGAAGTCTTAGAAACTGAGAAAAAGGAATGGAATTCTTAACGTGAGATGGATGCGAAGACGAATACAACAAGTAATTATGCGAGTCTATAGGTTTGTAGTGCATAAACCGTTGCCTTCAATTGAAACTTTGACGTCTAGACAAAGAAACATATCAAATGTTGTAAAAATCATTTTTATGAATTCTTTATTCCCTGATTTGTCTGTCAGCGTTTACGTTAGGAGAAAGTCCTTAAGTTGATAAATTCCACTATCCTCCCCAGCATCTGCTATTTAGAACATGGATAAAAATAGTCCCAGTGTTGTCAATTTTGCCTACTGACGTTGTTCTTCGTTCAGCTTGCAGTGTTGCTGGAGCGGAATACATCGAAATACAGTGCTGTCATTCAACTTTTGTTGGACAAGTCAGTTATGACAGCCGATTACGACGACATTTGTGAACATCTCGGTGATATTAATGAGTTTTGATGTTGAAAGAACGCCAGAGATAGCGTGGTTGGTAGAGCAGTTGCTTATTTTGTTTTCAGCCAGGCGTTATCCTGTGGAGCTGGCCTGTCTTAGAGGTTTGCTAGAGCTACAACCAGAAGGCATGGTATTCAAAAATACCCACTGGCCCATGCGCAAATGAGAACTTGGAGCGAGTGCAGTACTTTTGACACGACACAAGTTGATACTCTCATTATTGTGGTTTGCTTGCACCATCACGTGTCTGTGATGAACATTGCCAGGATCGCTGTTTTGCCAAGGATGGTTGTGCAGGAAAGAGTATTGAATGATAAGCAACATAAGTTGATTTGAAAATTACCAGCAAAACCGTCGTAGGTGATCAAGTGACAAGAATATGACGTTTGAGTCTGATTTTACTAAGTTGCGAACTGTATAACGAATAACTTTATACTTAAACCGTATAGCTTAGCCATAAGTGCCAACGTACTTTTAAGTTAAGTGTGCAGAACCTGAAACCAAAAACGTTAGTGGCGGATTGTCATTTTGAAATGGCTTAGTGTTGCTGGGTCAAGCTGTATCGTTTTTGGAGCGTGGAATGTGTGTGCTCGTCGTCAGAACTTATGCCCCCGGCCATTCACGCCAGCAAACCATGTTCAATTAAACCATGTTTAGCCGAATGAAAATCAGAGACAATAAACTGACGTTTCCGTGGGATTCAAGTAGTCACTAACATTTATTTTCAATGTGCTAAATTTCAAGTCGAAGGGTATCGATTTAAGCAGCTTCGGTGGAGGAACCAATTTTAAACCGTGTTTAAAAAAACAGCTTTCAAACAGTTTTAAGCTTTGGCGTGAATGGGTTATTTCTTATCAAAATAGAGTTTGATTTCTTTTCGATAGACCTCTAAAACGTGGAAAATCAAATTGTCACAACTGTAAATCGTTAAACTTTACAATGAAAACATAGACACGCGAAGACGGACATGCAGTGAGAGTTAAGAAAAGGAGACAAGGGCAGGTTTCCTATTGGTCAGAATTTAAGTTTGTGGCTTCTCTCTTCATTTTATTTAATTTAGGAAGTTCAAGTCTGAGCCATGTCGGGGTAGTAACTGAAGTCAGAATTTTAGTAATTGAAAAGCGTCAGTTGGCAATTTTTGTTAAAGGATTATAGCAAAAACCCGCATATTATAGCAGGGAATGAAATTTTTGGTAATCCAAGGTTTACTTAGAGGCTGTACTCGCATACTTCTATAGGTTACAGTGTGTAACATGTCATTCAAACATACACTAAAACCCCGAGGGTGGCACCATTGCCTTGGTTGGGGGTATACGTTCTCCATTTTTTTCACCTGCTGGCTTTAAGTGGTTTTCCTGTCCA